CCAACCATTTGTACAAAAAGAAACTCAACAACTGGATGGTGTATAACAAGTTTATTTCTTTATTCCTCTCGTTTGGAGTAATTAATGCCATTTCTTGTGGTTTTCGTCATCAAATTAGCCTGAATTATACGTCACGGTTCAATATATCGAGTGAGATTTATTCATTTTTTTTATCATCATTATTACACGTATCATTATGTCGCTCACACAGTGAGAAAAATCAGCTAAACACGACAGCACAATGAACGATGAGAAAGGTCAAAGAATGTTTTCACTTTTTATTGGATGTGATATTTGAACACTGATATGCTAATGAATTTTCTCTCGGTGATTTTATCAAGATTTTATGTGTTCTGATTTGAAAAGAGACGACGACACTCGAATTCACATCTCAGTTTGCTTCCGTTTAACGGTCATTTACACTCAATCAATATCAGCGATTTTATGTAACACAAATTAAGTCATAAATATTTTTTTTATTTTCTGCTTTCGTTGTAGATGATTTGTTGCGATTAACTTTCTTTCATAGCTCAATTGAACTGATTTTGATTTTGATGAAGATGAAAATGAAATAGAAATGCACACACTCAAAGTAAATCAACAAAAGAAATAAAAAGTGTTCATTTCAAAATCAAAACATGAATTTTCTCACAATGATTCAAAGCCTTTTGAAAAATGGTATTGAAATGATGAAGAAAACATTCGTACAATAAACGCAAACAGCGGCATATACACATAAGGCGGCTAATATGCGAAATTGAATAAATCAAAAGACAAAGAAACTACAAAATGATGATGATGATGCCACAAACAACGAACGAACGAACCAACAAAATCATAAATATTTCATTTGCTTGGCTTCAATCGTCCGCAAATCTTTCCTCCATTGAATGTGGCGCGACTGAATGGTGTTTCAATGCGTGGTCTATTTGGGGCCAATTCAATGGAAATTGTTCGTGTGAAAATGAGTTCATCTTCTTTAATTTCACATTTTGCTGGAGCTGCTAGTGTTTTCTGTGTGAGTTTTTTCAAATCACCATTTACACTTATTCTGATCGTCATGCGAAAAGTTTTGTTGTGGCGCAAAGAAGTGCGATAAATTTAGCAGATGCTTTTTCTTGTGAATGGGCAATAGGCAATCTTCGTTCCCAAACATAAAAATATGGCAAATAAATTTCAACTTACCTGATTTTGAGGTCGAAATTATATCCAGAAAGTTCATTTTTGCTACAAATTCTCAGCAAGTCATCCAAATGTCAACTGATTTGAAAACGATGTGCACACCGAACTGAAGCCCATATCGATTTAACTTTCTTCACTTCGTGAATAAAAAGTAATAGCAACAAACAAAAAATAACAAAGTTTCGTGTCGTGTCATGAACGCATTTCGTGGTTCGCTTCCTTCATTTCACCTGTTATTATTTTCAGCCGTTTTGATATCACGGAGTCCTTCTGCTTTTCAATGCGAAAAGTTCAAGTATTTTGAGTGTCGTGCACGTTCCACGACAAGTTTTTTTTGTTCTGATTTTCTTTTTATAGTTGAATCGATGAATTCACAGCAATAAATCTCATGAATAACATAAAACAGTCAGGCTGAGTTTTCATAAAGGAATTTTATGGGTTTCGTTAATTGCGGAAACATTTTCTTTCAGAAAGAATTTGCGATACGATGATGTTTGTCTACATCCTTAGGCATTTTATGTTACTATTTTTAGTCAACCCCACACCCAAGCTAATTTGGATAATACAATGAAATATGATTGAACGCAGTCTGAACAATTTTACTTTTACCAGTACTTTTCGACCGGAATTTTTTCCCAAAATGCTTCAAGTAACACTTTAGCTTCAGAAATGTGAGGAATATGAGAAAAACAGAATAGTAAATTGTCTTTATTGATGACCACCGAATGATGTCTCAATTTGCGATATATTCCCATTGAAATTTCAATTCATGATATTTGGAAAACAAAATCTAAATCTCATTTTTTAAATATAAGAATAAATCCCAATTTTATCGGACGATTTCGAGTTTGCAATGCATACATTAGTTACATTAGTTACATTTTTGTAATCAATTCATTATTTACATTTTAAATTTCAAATAAATCATAAAAAACTGAGGAATTATTTGTGAATTTTCTCGTTCAATTTAATAAAAAATCTCATCTTAATTTTGTTTGTTTTGTCATCTTTGAAAATCCCGCGTGTTATTACTGTTATCATTGACTGTTTTGTCATCTTTGAAGAAGATGGATACAAGTTCCCATTTTTCATTTACCCAAAAATCATTGCTAATTATTTTTTTTTGGTTAGACTTTTTGTATTGCCTCCAGAAATCCGAAAATTTAACAATGAATTTGCTAGTTTTATCTATATATTTTTGTTTAATTTTCGGATTTCTGGAGGCAATACAAAAAGTCTAACCAAATTCAACTACAAATCCAGCAACACAAAACAAATGATTTTTTTTTTTTTGACTGAATGTGTTTTTTTTTCTGTGTGGAAAAGATCGATTTAGAGAAGCGCACTTAAACTGATTTGGTTTCGATTGCAGCAAAGCAAAATTCGAAAAAATTTCATATCAATTTGGAAAAAAGGAGAATTCAGTTCTCTACTTAGAAATTGGTTCTTATTTCTGATATCAAAGCTGAAGATTGAATCCCAACGTGCAAAATTTCAATACGAACTAAGTTTTCCACGATATATCATTACAGTGAACAAGTTTATAAATCGTCTTAATGTAAATGCATTTCATGGTATTGTAGATTGTGGATACAGTATCAAGTTTAGATTTTTATTAACTCAAGTGATAAATAATTTAGCTTCAATGATTAGATTGAGTTTCTTGACGATGCCTTCGTCGCCACGTGAAACGAAGTACTTCATTTGATTGACTCATTTTCTCTCCGTAGCTTAGAACATTGTTGGATTGGATTAGCCTTCTAGTTCGAAATGATTTGATTGGACGTGAAGAAATGTATGTGCTTATTCAAAATAGACCCGTTAAAACTCACTTAAAAGTCATTTCGGGAACTCTACATCAGTTTCAGTTGCATTTCAACAGTCAGAAAAATCGGACGATCATTATTTTCTCCGGAAAATGATTTTTTTTCATAATCTAGAAACCTGTTTGTTGTGTTTAGGCTATATGCCAAACAAAAAATCACCAAATTGGTTAAAAAAAACTTTGAAAATCTACTTGAACATTAGAGATTTTTCAGAATATTAAATTTTGTTCGGAAATTTACTTACCAAAAAGTGCGAATTCGTATAATATTTGCTTTTTTCGGTTTATCTTTTTTATCGGGTCTGTGGTTTTCATTGTTTGATGCTAAAAAATTCGATGAGTTTTCGGAAGCCGTTAATTTCGATACTGTTGGATAATATTGATTCTGTCCCACTCGATTTTTGTTCGGCATAAAGAAAATTTATTAGAGCTCATGAATGAATGCAACAAGATGGTGCGAACCAGTAAGGAAAAGTTATTTACATTTGCACTCCGAATGTATCAGAAACATTACCGACACAATCAAAAAAAAAAAACATTTTTGTCATGAACCATTACTAAATTAGTCATAAGAAAAAAACTTGCATATTTTCTATAGATATATTAACTGATCATTCAATTGAATCTTCAATTTAATTTGAAAAAAAATTGTAATTTAATCGAATTTGGCCAATCAATATGAATAAATAAATAAAAATTCAGTCGAAAGAAAATGAGTGGAAATTTTCCAATGGAAAGATCTAAAGATTTGTTAAAATGGAGAAATTTATTGAATAAAGTCACTGAACTATACAATATCAGTTTATTTCAAATTTACCTGTAAATTATTCAATATTTTTTTTTGTTCAATTTATTAATATTGGGATTTATTCATTTACGCCACACAAATTTATTTTCATTTAAAAAAAATCGGTATTCGATTCGTCATAGAAAAACATTTCGATTATTCCGAATTCTCACTCTTCTTCAGGATTGATTTTCAAATTAAAATTTTGTGTGTCACCATTGATACACGTTTCAAATTCATGTTCGGGGAATTATTGGACGAAAGATATGGGTAATGTATTCGATCGTAGTCAATGGCGAAGGTCCTGCATCTAAGCGTCTGACAGCTCACTTCTAGCGCTACGAGACAAGTGTCAAAAGTTGTGACACAGATCGTTCAATGTATTATTGAATCTTTTTTATATTTGTTAATAAAGTAGACAAAAAAAATAAAAATGTCACGAATGTGCAAAATTGATTTTTGTGAGAGCGTAGCACGCGATAAACATTATTTTTATAAATAAAAAATGTTTCTTTCATTACGGAACATTGTTGATGCGTTCAATTTGTCGCGTTCATGAGTGCGTCTAACGACGTAAAGAATTGAAATGAACTTCACTGAATGCGCTCATCGCAAATTCGTGTTTTACTTTGTTTTGTTAGTGTGGTGCAGGGGTTGTGGTCAATGGACACAAATTAAAACGCTGCAATAATAGTCAACATTTTTAAGAATTTTTCCTTCGTAAAAAAAATGAGAAGATATGTAAATTGTATGTGAAAATTTCGATCGATAAAAATATTGATTAATAAGAAAACAAAAATGAACTAGATGAATTATCTATTATTAGCAATGAAAAAAGTATTACACCTCGGTCCTCGATACAATTTAAACACTCTTTAGAAGAGCAGTTCATTAACATGGGCAATTTAATTCAGATAAAACATGCAAACATTTAACGAAACCATTGAATTCGTTTGCAAAACTCAAAAAAGATTACTATGACTCAACAGTTGTTCAGTTTGATTACATTTGTATTTTGAATGAGTGGAGAAATGATTTCAAATTACTGTCAACATACTTATTTTAGCTCAAAAACAATGAAATCGCCTTTGATTGTAAATTTGATCTTCGTTCTGTTGATACTTTGATAACGGCTTTATAACAACAGAAAAAATTTGATAAGTCGCACGAAGAGCGTTATAAAGATATTTTCGTTGGTATCTTTTCATCAGTCAGTTGGATATTAGACGGCGCTATGGTAAGAAGTCTTTAAATTGAATTTACTCATTATTATTTTACTTTGTGTTTAGCTTCATGGATTTTTTTAAAATCTAGGTAGAAGAAAGAAAAAACACGCAATATACAAAATAAATAAATTAATACAAATTATTTAGAAATGTTCGAAATAAAAAATCAAAAATTAAAATAACTTCTTCCCAATTTAATGTTTCTTTGAACATTCTGGATTCGATTGCGCTTGTGATTTTTTATTTACAGTCATAAAAATTATCTTTCGTTCATTTTATCTTTTTCTTCAAGAAACTTCTCGTATTGTTTGTGTTTTCGATTTTATCCATTGCAAATGGGTACAAAGTGCTATTTTTGGTTCCGTTCCCTGGTAATTTCGAACTAAACTTTTTACGAAAAAGCGGCCATTAAAATTATTTTATTTAACAAAAAAGGAACAAGTCATTGGTTGGTGTTGCAGAGTTTCGTAAAAGAGCTGGTTAATCGTGACCATGAAGTGACCGCCATAGTAAATTATCCAATTATGAACTTCAGTTCACCGAATTACACGGAGATTTTGATTAGTCCCCACTTTGACTTATCCACAACTTGTAAGTGTTTCGAATGGATTTCATAAATCTTTAGAAAAAAAACTAGAATTATTGATTTAAATAATAATTTTAGTCACGCAAGAAGACGCGCATAAAAGTGCCGATGAAAGTTATTTTGAAAAAGTTCGATCCTACGATACGTACTGCACAAAATCTAGTGAATACGGATTAAACCACACGAACGTACAGAAAGTCATTCACAGCCAAGATTTGAAATTCGATTTAGTCATTAACGCTGACTTTTTCCACGATTCATGGTTTATGTTTGCGCACAAATTCAATGCACCTTTTATTTCAATTTGTGAGTATTTTCAGAACATTTTTGCATGAATAGTCCTGTCTACCGTATCTTTTTGCTAGGTCCATATGGATATTCAGACTTTTTCGATCGTGCAAATGGTTTATTAACACCTTGGTCACATGTTCCTCATTCACTTCTACCGTACGGAGATGATATGTCATATACAGAACGCGTGCACAATGTGATTTTATCAGCATACGATTGGTGGTTTAGAAATTGGGTGTTGCTACCACAGCAAAATGAAATCGCACAGCGATATTTCGGACACTTGGCAGGTAATTGTTGTGTTATTTTGACATTTTTCCCTTAAATTTCACAAACAATCGGACACATTTAGTCCTCAGATTTATGTGTTAGTGAGTTGTGTGTAGCGAGCAACGTATTACAGATAACGTCAATGTGGTTGTAATGCATTACCGTAAACGTGTGCCTAAACTCTTTATCATTCAATTTATTTCAAGAGCCTGGAAAACCTTTACCACGTATCCAAGATTTGTATCAAAATATTTCGTTGATCCTTGTAAATGCACATCGCAGTACATCGAAACCAAGACCATTGATGCCGGGCATAATACACTACGGAGGAGCGCATATCAAACCACCAAAACCATTGCCAACTGATTTACAACAGTATTTGGACACAGCCGAGCATGGAGTCATTCTTTTTTCCTTGGGTTCATATTTACAAGCGTGCGTTTCGAAATCCATTTTTTGTTCAATAAATAATTTTAATAGGTTTCTTCTCGTAAAAAAATGTAGTTCGAAATTACCAAAGGAGAAAATAGACATGTTCCTGAATGCATTCAGTAAACTCAAACAGCGTGTGATCTGGAAGTTCGAAGATGAGACGTATAAGGTGCCACCGAATGTTCTAGTCAAAAAATGGTTGCCCCAAACTGACTTACTTGCCCATCCAAATATCGTCCTCTTCATAGCTCACGGCGGTAAATTTTGTTGATTTAAATTTTACACTTGATTTTATATTATGATGTCAATTTATGCTAGGTATGTCTGGCACATTCGAGGGAACCGCGCGTGGAGTGCCAATGCTTTTCATACCGTTCTTCGGTGATCAACAGCGTAATGCCCTGAAATCAGTTGCAAGTGGAAATGCATTGATGTTGAAGTTTTCGGACTTAACGGCTGAATCCTTATCAACAGCTCTGGAAGAGATGCTCACCAATAAGGTATACAAAAATCGAGCCAAAGAGATAGCACGCCTTTTTAATGACAACCTAGTGCATCCAATGGATGAAGCAATATTTTGGATCGAATATGTGATGCGGTCGAAAGGAGCCAAACACTTGAAATCGAATGCAGCGTATATGCCTTGGTTTTCATACTTACTCCTCGATATTTTAATCGTTCCAGTTATAGCAATCGCTATTGTTTACCTTACGCTCAAGACGGTATTCCGAGAAATGAAATCAAGCGTCAATAAAAAGGGCAAGAAGCAGAGAGCGAAAAAAGTCAAATAAGATCAATTACAAACATTTGAGCATACAAAATCAGATAATATTTTCTGTTTGCACCAACACAACCATTTTTTACTTTTCATTATTATCAAACTGAAAATGTGCTAAAAGCATGAAAAATGAAATCACCAACGTTTTCATGATTTTTTTTGTGTGTATTTTATTACATCTAGACTTCTGTTAAATCATAACTAATGTTTCACATAAATGTGTTATGTACGTATATAAATATTTGCTAGTAAAAAAATGAAACTAAATCAGAAACAATTTTCAAATAATTTTGAAAACCGATTGAATAATGTTTAAATTAAACTCATACATTATTATGATTCAATGTGTGTGTATGTGTGAACGATTTATTGCATAATGATAATAGTTATGATATAATAATTCATATTTGATTATTTCAGTTTGTCAGAATATTTTTCCATCGAATATGATGGAAATTCATATTTAAAAACACATGCCAATAGAATACTATCGATCTAATTTATTTCAATAATTTTCTTTTCATTTCTTTTCGAATTTTGAGTCGCATCTTAGAAATATCCGTATCAAATAAACAAAAACTCCTAAAACTTATGATAAATGTGAAAAGAAAAAAAAAGAATCTGCTCTAAGCTAACAAATAAAAACCTAAACTCTTCCATAGTGTTTGCTGTATTTACAAATATCTAAACTCCAACTAAATTGTCGCGAATGTATATGAAAGGTTAAATATCAAAATTGTTTATAAATTGGCCTTAGTAATCTAAAATTCGATTTAAAAAAAAAACCGGTTCACTGTGGCTGTTGTTCGGTTTGTGGGGCGCCTTTTTTCTTAATCGCCTCAATCTGTGACATAATTTTCAAAGCGGGTCCCAATTTGATGTTCATCGTATTGACCAAATGGTTTTCATTGAGCAACACAAGGGCTTGTCCATCGATTTCGTGATTTAAGAAATCCTCAGCATAATCACTGTATCCAGCCAAACTACGAATGTAATCGCACACTTCATCCACCGACCATTTGACCAAGAATGAAATTGGCTCATCTTGATCCATATCACCGTCTGTTGACACTTCCATTGGAGTTGGTTCGGATGGTTTTTTGCCGGTGCTGTTTGCATCGGACGATCCATTCGAACTTGTGTCGCTCGTAGTGCCATTTGTGGATGCTGACGACGATGTTGGTGATGGCAATGATTTCGGTGATACAGAACCGTTTGTCGTTCCATTTTCGTGGCGAATACGCAATTTATGGTCACCATTCTGTTGGATCGTTGGTATTGCACCGGCTTTGGCTGCTTTCATGCAACTCTTCGAACAGTACGGTTTATATTTGAGTTTTCCTTTGCTTTCCTTTTTGCCACATTGGCTGCATGTCAAACGATCTGATGCAGGTTTTTCAGGTGAAGATGTGTTGCGGCGCTTCGATGGTGGCTCGTCAGAATCATCGGAGTATCGTTGCCGTGTGACTGGGAATGGTTCAGCTCCCTCTTGGACAACATGACCATCAATGTAATGAGTCAAAACATTTGGTTTGATCATTGCTTTTGGCAGTAGACCCTTATCATTTTTAATGAGATTCAATGTGGCCGGAATGGTTGGTGTGTGTGTGTTATTCGCTGCATTTCCATTCACAGCAGCCGTGCTGCCTTCATTAGCCGATTTAGCCTTTTGCGTGGATAAAGTGGCCGATGGTTTTTCGGCGCTTGGTTTTGGTGACTCTGCCGGTTTCGGGCTATCAACTTTCTTCGGACTCTTCGGGCTTGGTTTGCCCGTTGCAACCGTGGTTGTGCTGTTCGGTTTGGCTGTTTCAGCTTGTTTTTTGGACGATTCTTCCGTCTTTGAACTGTCCACTTTCTTGGGACTTGTTTTGCCCGTTGCAATTGTGAACGTTGTTTTGGGAGAATCTAAAGAAAAATGTTTACATAAAAACTGATTCATTTGAACTTTGGACAAAATTTTAAATCAAAAGACTGTATAATTACCCGTTGCTTTGTCCTTCTGCGTTGTAGTTGCAGTCTGCAATGAGGTCGACGACGTAATTGTGATCGACCCATTTGTAACGGTTGAAATAGTTGCCGATGTACTGGTTGCAATAGACTCAGATGCAGTTGACTTCTGTGCTTCGTCAGCTTTCGACGCGGCGACTTTGTCTTCCTTTGTAATGGCAGCTGTACTATTCGTAAGTATATTGGATGTTGCCGCATTGTAGGAAAGTGAAGTCATGGCAGCTAAGGGATTTGGTGGTGGTTGAAGAGTTAAACCTTGCGATGAACCAATCGGACTGCTCAGATTTTGCATAGCATTCAATGAAGTTGCGGCATTATTGCCTCCAATCGAAACCATTGTCATGATTGGACGATGGTCCATGTTTGACTGACTTTGTGCCACACTCTGTTGCCCCATGATGATCTGTTTCGGTTGCTGAATCGTGATTTGTGAAATGCCATTCGCTTGGTTGCTATTCAAACCACCTTGAGCCTGAGCCTGAGCTTGAGCTTGAGCCTGAGCTTGAGCCTGAGCTTGAGCCTGAGCTTGAGCTTGAGCTTGAGCTTGTTGTTGTTGCTGCTGCTGCTGTTGTTGTTGTTGTTGTTGTTGTTGTTGTTGCTGTTGCTGTTGCTGTTGCTGCAAGGCGATCTGTTGTGATTGCATGATTTGATTTTGAATTTGTTGCTGCTCTTGCTGATTGACGAATTGCGCCTGGGTTTGTCCAGTCAACTGAATTGATTGCAATTGCATTTGCTGTGGAATCATTTGAATTTGTTGATTCGGCTGCTGTAATTGAAAAAAGTAGAAAATTTATTTTTAATCAATTTCATTCAGAAAAAATGTGTAAAACACTAAACAAATTTGCACACAGAAATGAATTTCGTTATTATATCCGAATTAGTACCTGTTGCAAAAATGCAGTTTGTTGTTGCTGTTGTTTCGGTATCATTTGCTGAAGCATTGATGTGCCATTGTTGCTCATTGTAACGACCATTTTATTACCGGCCGAAGTAACAATCTGTTGCAACATTCCACTCTGCAGCAATTTCGTTTGATTTCCAGCATCAGTTTTGAGGTTAGGTACAGCTGGCCGAACAGTCGGTGGTTTCGTGCGTAACTTTACATTCTTCTGTCCGGCGAGTACGTTTTGATTGACCGACGTCTGTGTTGAAACTGAACTGGCTTGGTTTGGTCGAATCGTTTGATTAGCCCCTTGTGGCAACAATGTTGGTGTACGTGTTGGCGTTTGTTGTTTGGGTGTGAGAGTCTCTGTCACCAATCGTTGTTTGTTTGGCGTTGCTTGGATATTGGCCTGTTGAGTCTATGGGAAAAGAGATTATTGTCGATTTTAGAAAAAAAAAATCACATCAAAAATGCATTGCTGCCATTATCTCCGTAATCCATGATAATTGAATACTTACAATAGTTTGTTGCACAGTATTTTGTTGCGCTTGTTGTTGTTGCTGTTGCTGCTGCTGCTGCTGCTGTTGTTGTTGTTGTTGCTGCTGTTGCTGTTGCTGCTGCTGTTGAGCTTGAGCCGTTTGTTGAGTGGTGGCTTGAATTTGTGCTTGTGGCGCTTGCGCTTGAGCCTGCTGTTGCTGATTTGGTTGCGATTGAGCCGTTTGAGCTTGGGCTTGAATCGTTTGTGTTTGTGGAATGAACATGCCTTGTGTACCGTCCGGTCGAATAAAAATCGAATTTTGGAATTGTGGCGGCAGCCCATTAGTCCACAATTGCGGGAACGATGTACTTTGAAGCCACTGAAATTTTGAGATAAAAAAAGCGAAACAAATCCAATTAGCAAGTGATTACACACAGTTACTTATACGTGGATATTTTAAAACTTACCGGTGCCGTAAATTGCATTTGTTGTCCACCCGGCTGTTGGATCTGGTTGATGATCTGTGCTGTCGGAATGGTGGACTGTGACACTTGAACACATTGTTGATTTTGCTGTGCATTCGGTTGAGCAGCAATTTGTGTTTGACCGGCTGCATTCACGGTATTCGTCTTTTGCACCACTTTTTGTGTTCCATTGAAATTCTTCATTTCGGTTTGTTGTTGATTCTTTGCCGCAATGGTGCCATTATTTTGTGTCGTTGTGGTGGTCATTGGCAGAATATTCTGTTGTTGCTGCTGTGGCTGTGAGCTGAACACATTCACTGGACTGAAGAGAAGCGTTTGTGATTGACTGGTTGGCAATGTGTATGTTCCACTGAAGCCAGTCGTTGAATTTCCAATGACTTGTTTTCCTTGTGCCAACATTTGCGGTGTGATTTGACCTCCTTGTAATGGCTTACCGGCAGCAATCACTTGAATTTGAGGTTGCTGATTGAAACCTTGCTGCAGTATATTCCCTGGCATCAACACTTGTTGCCCGTAAATCGTTTGCAAATAGGCCGGATTCTGGATTGGCTGCTGAACAACTTGAACACGTTGATTCCAATCGGCTGGCAATTGTCCATTTTGCAACTGAAGCGGTGGCATTGTTGTCATCGTGGTCGATGTCTGTTGTTGATGTTCGCCTATGGAATTCATGGATATTTTTCGTTTAAAACTGTTTTTATTTGTTACGAGTCAAAAATGTGCGAAATCGAATGAACGAATCTTGTCAAAAAAAAAAAACAAAAATTAGTTCCGTTTCTCGTCAAGCGCAGTGCTCGGGTCGGTATTTTTTCTTTTATTTGATACACGCACACACACAAATACACTTACCATTGACATATTTGATGCCCATTGTAGCATTGTTCTGCTGTTGATGCTGCGAACTAGCTGTAGTGTCAATCAATTGCATTTGTTGTACTTGTGCCGCTTGATTTTGCTCCTGTAATTGTTTGTTCAATTGCTCGATTGTGTTGGCTTGATTTTGGGGAAATTCTTGTTTCACTTGGATAGCAGTTCCACCAGCGGCGAATGCTTGCTGCAGCTGGAATTGATGCTGAAGATGTTGCAATTGTTCCGGTGAAATTTGTAATGGGACCGATTGGGTTTGGTTTGCTACTTGTGTTTTATCCATTTTCGGGTGATTTATCGTTTCGCTTATTGTTACGCCAGCTTTTTGTGCTAATGTTTCCAAACACTTTAACGGTCGTTCGTTGGAAATGGGCCCGATCGACAGTTTCGGCGTCAAATTTTGATTGTTCAACGATGGAACGATTTTTCGATTCACAACTTTTGAACTGGTCGGTGTGTTTGGTTTTATGTGTACCTCACCACCGGCTACACGGGGCCGTTCGGCAGAATTGGATTTTGTTGCCGAATTCGCCGAAGGTGAATTGCTTGGAGATTGACTACTACTCTCCAATGATTTCCGTGGTTTAATATTCGAATTATCCTTCAATGGACCCAAAGTCGAAGTATTATTGTTACTGTTGTTATTGCTGCTGCTGTTGTTGTTGTTATTATTATTATTGTTGTTCGTGCTCGAACTCTTCAGTTTCTCCTCCTCTTCTTGCTTTTGAAGATTATTATAGTGAGCCGATCTGAAAGTGAAGAAAGAAAGAATCGATTAAAAATTTGTTAATTGAATGATCAATTTTTCAAGGGTTGCTTACAAAAGCGTCGTCTAAGGAATAAAACAAAATCAACTATACGATGAAATATCCCAAACTCTGAAGCAATTTCAATGAAAAAAAAAATGCTTTTTGTGAATGAAAGAATCGCCAATTGTATTCATTTATTGCTAACAAATTTATTACCACTACTAAATTCGATGATCACACGGCAATTTCATTCATTCTCCCTTCTTACACCAAATCATTTATGATAAAAGCCTTGAAGATTTTTACGATTTGCAACACCCAATTTCGATTAAATAACACAATAAACAGGCACAGAGAAATAGCGAGCGAGAGAGAGAATGAGAGAACGAGAGCAAACAATAAATAACAATGTGACGATAGTATCTCGTCCCCTGCAACGTTTACACAGTGCGTTTTGCTGTAAACAGACGGCGGAACACGATGCAAAACCCATTAGCCACATAAACGAAAGCCGATGTATGTGTACAGGAAATTCTGTTGTTCCAATGCATTGGTGCTCAGGCTCATTGGTTCGTGCATTTTATACGCCAACAAATTCCGTGCATATTCCATGTAAACATTCTTTTCAAACTCTTTTTCCACTGTCGTCCGATAAAAATTTAATAAATTCATGCTTTAGAAGAAAAAAAAAAGTCTGTTCGAACAAGCGTTCCAATATTTCGGGTTTTTATGGATTCCTTTGAAAATGGTCGATGTTTTTTATGGTTGCAATCGGAACATATGCATTTTTACAATGCATTGACACCGAATGATTGAGCAAAACAGAAACGAAAATGAAGAGCCATCGACAAAAAAGAAATTTATTTTCGGTGATAAGTGGATCCCGAAACCAAACGGTGCGTGTGTTTTTCGTTCGTCTTCTATACACATTTTCCATCGATTGTATGTTACCCTATACACGGAAAAATGTGCAGTTTCTGTTTTGCCTGCAACATCGCACATCGAAAGAGGACAGATAGAGAGAGGAAGAGAGAGAGGGAACAGAAAAAGGAATTGCCATAAGCATTGCATTGCGTCTGTGACATTCTCAATATATATGGTTGAATATATTGAATTTCACATTATTCACATTATTCACATTTGAGCTGGCACAAACAGAGGACACAATGAAAATGTGCGGAAAAAATGTGCATACAAAAGCAAAGATCAGTGAGCAACATGAACGATAAAAAAAGCATACAAACACAAGGCAGCAAAATTGAGTGACACATTGTGCGTGTGCATACAATGCCGATCGGCGTGCAATTTCGAAAAAAAAACATTGGCAAAGAGCTTCGACACAGGAGATTGCGAAGTGCACACCATTATTATGTATCTGATCTCTGGCACACAGTAAATACGCTCTATACACAGCGCGCCGGAGTCAGGGCATTAAAAATAATAATGGAAAAAAATATAAAGTTAAAATAGTATTAACGAGAGAGAGAGAGAGAGAGAGAGAGAGAGAGAGAGAGAGAGAGAGAGAGAGAGAGACCATGGGCTCCGCAGTCGATGCAAAGATGGAAAAAACCGTATAATGACAATTAGCAGAGTAGTACATACGGCCAAAGCGAGAAACGTCGAAACACAGCCGGACCCATGTCATGGGCGACAGAAAAAAGAGACGACACAAATGCAAAGCATTTTTACCAACCAAAACCGAAATCGAATACAAAACGTTAACAAAAACTGCATTAGGCGAAACGATACAGCAACAACACAAGAACATAAAGCGAGGGGAATAGAAGATTGTTGATGAGTGAGAGGCGAACAATATTCGATGAAAAATGAACGTGTATCAAACGATAAAGAAATAAATAGCATGCTATTTCGATTACGACGAAATCATAAACATAGAGAGACAGAGAGAGGCAAAAATGCACACACGTTCTCGAGCAACAACAACAACAACAACAAGACCATGAACAGAGAGACATAGAGATGGCAAAGAATGATGTGAAGGAAGAATTGAAAGCAAAACTGAAACGATGTAGGAAGAGAAGCACACAGTAAAAATGAAAGAATCGATTTATACATAGAGAGAGGATAGCCCGAAACCGGCTGCCGAAAAAGGAAGCACAGAATATATATAAATATATTGAAAGAGCGAGGAAAAATAAAACCGATTGCATTGAATTTCGGAAAAAAAATGAATGCACGCCGAATGTTATGCTTGTTCGAGGGATTCAATGTTATATCGTGAATGCATGAGGGGAATAAAATGTTGTGTGTGTTACGAACAGCAGAATGAATGCTGGTGAGTCGTTCGTTTGGATTCTTTTTTGTTATGCTCTCTCTGCCTGACTGACTGCCTGCCTGCCTGCCTGTTCAACATTCTATACGGTAACGTATAAATATGGCGACAGAGATAATCACCATATTTGTATAGCATTAGCTGTGTGCTGTTTGTCGTGTTCTTTCGTTCGTTCGTTCGTTTGTTCGTTTGTTCGCTCACTGTGAATCGTTCCATCCTTCTCTCACATTTATTGCCCAAACATGCGTACACATACCATCTCGAAAATTCTTGTTGTACGCCTAAAATAACATAATGAATTGCTGTGCGTTCAATAAGCTGTGGCGGTTGCAAGAGTGGAATGAAGAGCACTCTCACTCATCTCATGGGTAATAATAATAGGTGAATGCTGAAGGCATATATACGTTGAATAAAAAGGACGGCATCGCCATAGCAACGTTTTTTTTCATTTATATACGATGTGTGTTACAGTCGGCGCGGCACTTATCTCGATGTGGCCGTTTCATTTCTATTGACTGAGCGAGAACGATCTTGGGATTCATGATGGTGCTGCGAATACAGAGCGCAACCTATGCCCAACTCATTTTTCAATGGTTCGTGCTACAGCAGCAGAAAGAAATGGAATGGAAAGGAAACAGAACGAAACGTACAGAGAATATTTCGTTCTTTTTTTTATTATTATTTTCGACACGGAATTTTGTTTTTAACAGAGGGTATTTTTTCTCGTTGTTGTTATTGTTTATTCACTCCATTCGTTTACTGTCGCTGGTTGCGAGCAAAATTTATTTGTTTTTTTTTTTTTATTTAAGACCACTTTGCATATATACAACGACACTGCTTGATTGGTATTAAATTCGAAATGTAAAATGTAAAATGACAGGAGTACGGTTTGGAATTCAGTTAAATTCGTGCATGTATATGTATGCTATTGCCGTTTACATAAGAGCCGTGTGCTTCTCTCGTTTGAAACATTCGCTCGGTTTATGTGCACATAAACTTTTCTCGCATCAACTACGTTATTGCGGTTGGCTTGAATTTGGATGCGACCAAAGTTTTCGCTTTATCTTGGTTTGTGAATACATTTTCAATATTTGTTCAGGAAACCAACTGATTTTCTTTCTTTTCCCCACTTTCAACTAACTTCTGCCACAGCTCGAAAATTCACCACAAATTTACATCTGCCGAAATTGTGGAGCGCTCAACCCGTGGTATTGAAATTGAATCATGCTAGAAAGTGGCTTGAAATTGAATGGAATCTTTTCAGAAGAAGAAAATTCTTTTAACAAAAATTACACAGATTCAGTTGGAAATTATTAGGAGACGGTCTATTTTCTGTGTCAATGCAGACCAACTTGAAATATGTACACAATACTTGCTGTATCATAAGCCATTATGTACTATATTAATATTTGGAATTTAAATAGAAAACGCTCCCTATTGCACATTGTTTATTATTTACCAACATGGAAAAAAGACTGCCGCTGTTGCCTCTATGGGTAAGGGTACAATTTCAACGGATTATATACGTTCGGATGTGGGTATACATGGTATGCTACCGTTATGTGCTTGATAAAAAGGAAAGAGCTCAACGACGGTAAGTGCTAGATGGATGGATCGAATTATTATTATTTTTTTTTTCACTAGACATGAACAATACGTAAAAGTATATACTTTTTGTCGTATTTTTTTACATATTGATTTTGTATTAAATATACATAAACAGTGAGAGAAGCTCTAGCATAAATAAAATATTTGACGCTGCCTGTCAATCGCAACATACTATACAGACACTGGCCGTGATTATAATCGCAACCCTTTCATTCTCTCTCTTTTTTTTCTCAAAACTTTTTTTTGGTATTTTTTCTTTTGAAATCTTTTTTAACGGCAATTTTACCGCGATAACTATTGGGAAAGATTGTTGGTAACCGAAATCGTTTTTAATTATTCAATTGAAGCGGGATGAATATTTTTCCAAAAAAGCAGACACCGTCCTAAGGGCAGGTTAACATTTTACACGTCTAATGTAATTGCTTGTAATCTCTTTCACGTCGGATGTGCTTAAGCAAGAATTTATGTTCTGTATCCATGGCACATAAGACAATTTATATTCGAAAAACCTTAGCTCTTGTGCAAACATAATATTGCAAAGTCATGATCTGAACTTGGGATGGAGTGAGAAATTTAATTTTCCTAAAACATTTGTAATCTTATAATGTGCTCGGCCGAAAATTGTTACCATTTCGAATACCTGCAAGTTTCCTCAAATGATTCATACTTCAACAAACACTTATTTCAAACCATCGCCTTTGACCTTCAAAAAGTAAAGGTTTGAAACTTCAAAACAATTCCTTTTTTTTGCATTATAGTCAAAAATGCAAGAGCCCGTATAAAATAACTCCATGCTGACAATTTGATACGAATTGCAAAAAAAGTTACTGAAAAATGCATGGCAAATACGTTCGAATACGTGCGATGAATGTGTTTTTTTTTTTTGCAAACTAACATAAATTATCTACTTCCATTCTGTTGCTAAAAGCCATTCACAAAAAGAAAAAAAAAACAATAAAGGAAGTCAATTTTTCATGTTTTGCCAAATTCACAGTATTAATCTTTCAAACAAAAGAGAGTGTTTTTTCTTGTTAAATGTACCGCCATGTCTGGTTTGAAGTTTTATGCTAAAGTGATTCTGTATGCGGTCGGTTCTCGTTTGTTATTGTTTTTCGGGAGATACAATCCGAAAACATGTGAGATAAAAATGAAGCTGCTTCAGTCGTTCGTTCACTTTGTATCTCTGTAGCATGAGACACATATTTGCAAGTGAAGCAATCCCGTATCTAGTGGCCGAATAAACAGCACGCACACAATCAACCGTGCATATCGTTGAGCGTCTGACGTTTTAGACACAACACACACAAAGAAAAACCGTGTATGCGCATTGCAAGCATTGAGAGTCAATGTGGAAGCATAAAACATTCACTGTCGTACCGCAAACATGCACACCACCACAGACGAGGAGCACACACAAAGCGGCGAAAGAAAAACATAACGAATTGGATAGAGAGGATAAAAAAAAACTTCGATGCTTTCTATGTGTCGCGCGTGAACGACAGCAACAAACCGTGTGTCAATATTAGATAGCTGTGCATTCAGAATACAACATCGTGTGGTACATTAATAAACAAGTCGTTGTGTACGGCGTTTTTTTTGCGTTTTCGTTCGAAGAAAACCGGTTATGCTATGCGTTTTTTTTTCTTTCGCCCGTTCGAATGAAAGGAGAACAAAAATTGCGAAGAAGAAAAAAAAAACAGTCAACGATGAAAAAGAAATTGACAAGAATAAGACGAAGAAGAAAAAGATAGAAAGAGAGAGAGAAACACATTTCGCACTCTGGAAATGATTATTATGAATAATCAGCTTGATGTTTCCACATTTGCAGCTTCCTTGTACTTAGCTCAAGTCAATTTATAGGGATAATTGTGTCTTGAGTAATTGTACACGGCATACATTTAATGGAACCCCTTAAGTTGGATACATTTGCATTGGTCGGTATAACAAAAGCGAAATTCAAACAAAGCAATCTTTCTCGACAACTTAACTCAACTGAAAGGAGAAGAAGAAACCGAAGTAAACGAAAAACTGATGAAAATTATGAATCCAACTAAATTTATAAATCAATAACAAAACTTGAACTGACTTAAAGCAACAGAAAAAAAAACAGAGAAACTGATAATAAAAAGGAAGAAGAAAAAATAAACGAAATAAAATATACCTTTTTGTATAAAAACGACCATTTCTGCGTTGTTCCATATTAATAGGAAATTGAGTGGGTTTCAGTAAATAAAAAATTGTAAAATTCAGCTACATTCAAATGATCAATTACGGTGTTTCGATCGAATTGCTCGCAAACCATCATATTCTATGCATAAATCCAAAGTACAAATGAAATCTTCGCTGTTTTTCGTTATTCAGCTAGTTTTTTTTGTTGCAAAATTTCAAAACGCACTTTAAATATTTTCAACCGAAATGAAACAGCTGAGGAAAGTCGGTCGACGTAAAAAAAGGAATATCAAAAACTTGACGATAACAGAATACAACGGAAATGTTGATGAATTCAGTTAGTGACTCACTTTTCTTTGAATGTTTATGGCACTCGATTGAGTTTTATTTATGCGTGCAAATTTCACAAATAAAAAATCGTACGAAAATAGTCAAAGTTATTGAAAGCCTTGAAATTGGTTTATTGTTCACATTCACTGCACTTTTGCAGAAAAATATACATATCTCACTCTATTCAGATACAATGTATGTACAAAAAAGTAATCCGTTCACTGGTCCAAAAAGTTTTATTGTGACACTCCGTGTGTCTGCATATACAAATTCACAAATGGTTCAGTTACACTCTCCGAAGTGACACACAGAAAAAAAACGGCCAAAGGAAAAAAAAGAACACAGACGAAGATGAAAAGGAGTGAAAACTCAGATCGATGTGCTCACACGTCTTGCTACGATTGAATTCTGAACACAACTGAATCGGATACATATATTCATATACATTGGATTCGCACAAAAGCAGCAGCGGCGGCGACGGCATCAACAGCGGTTGTACTTAATCATATATGCTCTCCCGTATATACATGGGCATCGTATTAGTATGGGTGTGAAGGCATAAAAACGGCTTTTGAACACACAACCATATGCATAAACGGTCCCGAGAGACCGTGTGGTAAAAATGCAGTTTTTTTTTCATTACTCGCTTGAACACACAGAGATATACAATGAGTGTGTGTGTCTGTGTGAGTATGTGAAGCGGTATATGAGAGACGAGAACATGTTTCGTTAAACACGGTTCAGTAGATGGCAACAACAATGAGCCGTTTTCTCGAGAAAATATAGATTGTATGTGCACTTTAATAGGTTTATGTCGAAGGAGCACCTTCTTTCAGTTTGTATGTGCGCATGTACAACAATTGCCGCCTCAAACTCTTACCCATTAAAATGAACACACATACATAGACATCGTTAATCCCGTACACAAGGAGAATAAGGGCACAATGAACTTCGATCCCAAATGCGCGTATGTGTGTATATATGTGTAATATACGATTGACAACATGTTTTCTCATTTAAAATTCGAAGCCTGGATGTCGGTTTATGTTGCTTCTTTTACATTCGTAATTCCCCTGGCGAATGTATTAGTGTGAATGAACGCTTCGTTTGTGTGCTGTGGTGTTTTTTTTTATTATCCAGCCGTCAGCCGGTGGTAATGGTGGGATCGAAGCAAATGAAAAAGCATCAAATAACAAGCAACACAACGAAACGAACCGAAAAAAAAATATTGCCTTTATTACGAGGGAACATTAATTTCATGCTGACGAACGAAGCGATGTTACCATTGGAGCGAACGAATCGAGCACATACATGGAAAATGCTGTCATTGTGTGAGTCCATGCTCTCTCAATGGCCATCACTGTATGAGTGAAATGAATTCGATTTGGTTTTTTTCTTTCATTTGATGATTAAATGAAAAGGGAGCCGTTTTGATATTAGATTGGGCTTAGGTTTTATGATAGAAACTGGAATTAATGCCCGTTTCGTTGTTGTTGGTGCTGCTGGCTCACAATTTCCGATGTGACAAAAACATCTGGCGCAAACTCGCACACATTTTTATTACTTTTGACATGGACGTGTGTTGGTGCGAGACAGCAGCTCCTTATACATTGGGTAATCTTGAGCGGCACATCGATAGTTTTATCTTTGAGACATATCATTCGACGGGATTTTACATTCAAAGTGGCTGTCGAATTTCAGCCTTTTTTTCGTTGGATGGATACAGCAATCGAGCAAGTCATTGTAGTGAGTCGTATGCGTGCAAGCATGAATCGAGGGAGATGCGAGCCATGAATAAGAACAACATGAAAATGAAGTTGTAAAATGATGAGCGCTACGCTTTGGTCTTGGGTGTTTGTTCGTTTGTGTGGATAGATTGTGTGCAAGGAATGGGAATAAAGATGCCGCATTTTAATTGCACGTTGCAACACAAAATAAAATGAATGCAAAGCAAAGCAAAGCGGCCGATAATAATTCTATTTTCGTCTATTGCTCACTGGCCAAGCATCGATTATGCCCCCACCAATCTTATATACACTGGTGTGCATGCGGCTAACATAATCATTTATCCGCTGTCAACGCTTCAAATGCAATCTCTCATTTACATGTCAAACGATGATGACGGGCATATACAGTCGATTCGACCAACCAGTGAATTTATGTGCGCCAACTGGATTCATTTTAACATCATCTCGTGTCCTCCTTGAATTGGTACAAAAGTAACACAGCACATTTTGGTTGTATGCACGCGGTGTGCGCGCATTTGTGATAAAAGCGCGAGACACTTGATTTACGATGCTGACCCATTTGCTCTTTAAGTCGTAAAATGATTCAACAACATAAAATTGTTTCGCCTTTCGAGAGAGAGAGAGAGAGAGAGAGAGAGAGAGCGAGAGAGAGAGAGAGAGAGAGAGAAGGAGAGAATCGCTTGGCGATAGTTGAATTTTGTACCAGTGCATAAAGAATAAATTAACAAGATTTCACAGTCAAAAAGTGGGCACACATAAGAGAATGTTCGAAGTGCATGAAAATTTCAAGCATTTTAATTTATGCCATAGGATCGCGCATGCTGAAATATGAAAATAAAAAAATCGGTATACAAACCCAAATTGGGTATAGCACTGTCAGTCATGATATAAAGAAAATGAAATTACACATAGCACAACATAAGAGAGTGAACATCAAAGTAAGTCATAACATGAATATGTTGCTTATGAATTTATTTCTAATTAAAAATTTAACAACACTCAAGCAATAAGCAATATATGGTTGTTTGGTTGCTTTGGGTAAATGAATTGGATTGGTTCATTATTAATAATTCATTGGTAATATGACGGTGGAAATGAACCATATAGAAAGCATTACGATTTCACCAAGTGCGGCAGCAAGTATGTTACACTCATAACAATTATGAGTAAAACACAGTCATTTTCTGACTGCATGAAAATGAATGAATGAATGACAGAGAGAGAGAGAGAGAGAGAAAAAACGCGAAGTGGAAAAAAAGCGCTGCGTGTAACCGTATTGTAATTTAACAAAATGAAATATACCAATCGTAACACAAGAGTTGCGTGACAACCACAACTTAAAAATATACGACTGCAATTCGAATCCACACACCAACCGCCACAAAAGATCACACAGCGCACGTTCGCCCAACAGAAACAAAAGCCAGTAATAAAACAAAACAAAAAAATGAAGTGAAAAAAAAGCAAACATGAAAAGCAAATAACAACGCAGAGAAGAAAGAAGAGAAAAAAAAGAGAACGGTAAGCAGTAGAAACCTCAACAGATATGCGGCAAATAATATGAAATACGAATCGACGAACGCATTTAAATACCAAATCAAAATGTAGCGAATGAGTCGAGAAGGCGAAAACAAAACATAACTCTCAGCGTCGAATGTGATTTGGTTTGCATATTGCCATATCAAACGCACACACATACATCGCGCGCGCACCCGTCATATGAATAGCGAATAAAAAACAACGGGAACGAAATCGTGGGCAAAGTGCCACGACACGTCTCTAAAACAGTGAACAGAAAAAAAATGAACGAACGAACGAACATACAGCGTATGTTTGAGAGTGTATGTGGAGAATGAGAAGCAGAGAGAAGACAGCGACAACAATTTATTATTATTGCATTTATTTTCCGATTCTTGCCCGTGTGCTTTTCGTCGTTGTTGTTGTTTTCTTCTTCTTCTTCATTCATGTCTATCCCCCTTTTTCACGTCGCTGCTCCGCTTATCATCCTCACCCACAGTCATACACTGGTACTTCATTGATACTGTCTCGTTTGCTCTCTCTCTCTCGCACATACACGGCATAGATTTGCTGCGATAACAAGACCTACAGCGATTTGATTACCAATGCGAACGAAAAAACGGCATACACGATTGCTGTGTGACGATAAGGAGAGCAAATATGCGTTCGAGTGTGGCTGTGCTTGCGTGCGCAACCATTTGAATTATTTAATCATAATGCTATAGCACTGCTCGCATATAGTATGTTTTCTTCCTCTTCTTTTTCTTCTTCTCACTACTACCAGTTTCTTTTTTCACTTGAATTTCATATGGCTTAATGAGTTTGTGTCGTTGCTTTTTCTCGTTCTCTACTTCGCCCGTTCGCGCTCAAGCGAACAGTCGTATCAGTTTTATTGCCCGTTCACTTTAATGCTGATATATTGTATATGTTATTTTATGCTCTGTTTTGTGCTCTTCTTCGCCTCTCGGCTATCGTTTATCACCGTATTTTTTCGTCGTCGTTGGATGCAAAAAGCGCCTGCGCACATCCACAACGTTGCCACACTTCAATAAAGAAAACATCATCGACGTTCATTTGAACGACGAACGCAAATTGCCTACACACCGATTCGTTAGCTTCGGATATTCCGCACTTTTTTCTCTGTACTCCTCAATGCCACCGAGTTCGGGAGATGCGAAACAACCAAACAATGAAAGATTTCTGTTCACCGATAATAAAGTATGCGACCGAATTTCGGATTGCGGTTAATGCATTGAATTTATTCGGTTGAACCATCGACATTTTTAGTCACCATAATTTTCAGACTTTCGTTCGGATGATTTCGAAAATGAATGTTTTTTTGAAGCTATTTTTATTGCTTAAGACTTGTTTTTTTCTCGTTCTTGTTCAATTACCACATTTTTTTTTCTCAATAATTGCATCTTGGAATTTTACGGTGAAAATTCATAAGTAGGAATCATAAGTAACTCAATTCCATTTCAGAAATCCGTATAAAAACTCAACTAGAAAATCATTATAATCGCTTTTGTAAGCTTCTTACACAAGCAAGCTTCTTCTTCGAAAGCTGGATAATAATCGGATTTATGACGACGAAAAAATGGATATCATTTTGGCTTCAGATTCACCTATGGAAGAATGAGCGCTATAAATAATTTTCATCACGAATGAAATTCAAGTAGATCTTGAAGTACGTTGGAATCTTATTTTCTTCAGAACTCGTGTTTTGGTGAAATTTCCTTCGTTTTCCCACACAATAAACGAAGCATTTCAAAAGGTAAAATATTTTCAGATTGGCTCCAATCGTCTAACAATATGAATATCATTATCTTGACTTTAAGTCCGAAACAATCACTTTAAGTCAAGTATTTGTTTGCAATAACGGTGCAAAATATGTTGGCGTGTGGGATTAAAGCCACTTGACATAATCCGTAAAGATCGAATTCAGATCGAATTCAGATCTTCTCAAAAAAAAATTATCTGTTGAGAATTATTCGAATATCCATTTTATTATTTTTCTTATCAACCCACTGAAGCGTTTGCCATATCTCAATCCTCTAACGAAATGAAATGGAACTGAGAAAATTGTCAACAACATCGCTGCCACATCAAGTATCGTCAAAAAACCGATTGAACATTGAATAAACTCAAACTGATAATTAAATCAAGCCAGGAATTTAATTTGACAGCTATCAATCAAATCGCGCCTTTCTGTATCACATTTACTTCATTTTATTTCATTTGACGAATACAACTGCACTTGAAATAGCGTTGTGGTGTGATTCGTTCAATTGAGTGTATTAATCAAGCTTTCAACACGATGAGAATTCATAGCAGATAATTCCATTTACTACCACACATTCATTGTAATTCATACGATATGGGCCTTTAATTGTTCCGATAGATTACACTGTCGTGTCATTTCAAATATAAACATTATCTCATTATTGTCAGTGAACCGCCCACCGCTTTTACGTTTCGGCCAAAAAAGAGTGTACGAGCGAATTT